GAAAGGGACATCTTAAAATCCTACTTGGTTAATTCTTATGGTTTGGTTAGTTGCTTTATTGTGTTTGCATTTTAACCAGATGCTTCTCAAAGAGACAAAAGATTTTATTCTCTGGGTAGCTTCAGGCTTAAAATACAAATAAGACCTAGAGCAGTTTTCAAAACCTCTAGCGGGTTCACAGGCAGGTTTGTAAGAAGGTTTGTAAAAAGATTTGTAATGAGGTTTGTAAGAAGCCGGTGGAAAGAACATGGAAGTTCCCTTCTGTTTTCTCATCTGTCCAGTGTTCTGGCCATGACATCCAGAACCAGCACAGCCTTAAGAAAACTTCCTGAAGGCAAAGGCTGCCCCACAAGTGTCCTCTGGGTGTCTGCAGAACCACAGGTGTAACTCACAGTTAACCTGTGTGTGTTAAAAAGGCCTATAAGGGGCTGGCACTGTGGAATAGCAGGTAAAGCTGCCACCCACAATGCCAGCATCCCATATGGGCTCCAGTTCAAGTCCTGGCTGCCCCACTTCTGATGCAGCTCTCTGCTATGTCCTGGGAAAGCAGTAGAAGATGGCCCAAGTGGTTGGGCCCCTGCATCCACATGGGAGAACTGGAAGAAGCTCCTGGCTCCTGGCTTCAGATTGGCGCAGCTCCAGCCATTGCAGCCATCTGGGGAGTGAACCAGTGGATGGAAGACCTTTCTCTCTGTAAATCTTCCAAATAAATAAATAAATCTTTTTTAAAAAATAGGCCTAGAAGCACACCATTAGCCACTATGCCACTATCACAAAGTATTTTTTTAAAGACCTATTTATTTATTTGAAAGAGTTACACAGAGAGAGAAGGAGAGGCAGAGAAAGAGAGAGGTCTTCCATCCGGTTCACTCTCCAAATGGCTGCAATGGCCAGAGATGCACCCATCTGAAGTCAAGAGCCAGGAGTGTCTTCCAGGTCTCCCACATAGGTGCAGGGGCCCAAGCACTTGAGCCATCTTGAGCCATCTTCCACTGCTTTCCCTGGCCATAGCAGAGAGCTGAATGAGAAGTGGAGCAGTCAGAACTTGAACCAGCACCCATAGGGGATGCCGGCACTGCAAGAGGCGGCTTTACCCACTATGCCACAGTGCTGGCCCCTATCACAAATTATTAACTCAGCCACAGTACCCCCAAGGTGGAAAGAAATTTGCAGTTCAGGATTCCTGGAAAAAATGCAGTCTTTCCAGACTGTCAACCACTTGAAAGCAGAGATTATTTCTCAAGAGATTTTGTACTTCCTGCAGTCTTGGGCAAAGGGCTGGGCAGAGGTCCTGGGCTCTGCAATACTTGACAAATGAACAACTGAGTTCAAGAATATGTTAATTTATGGCTGTGAGGATAGCAGCACCCGCAGGCGTGAATCCACGAGGGTGAGCTGGCAGCTCCGCTGATGCCGGCGGTTATTTGAGATGGAAATCTTCCATGGGGATGGGTGGAAGTTCTCTTGAGAGTCATGTTTCCAAATCATCTCCCAGGACAAGTTTTCCTTCACATTATTTTCCGAGAATGCTCCTTTGTACGTTGTGGGCATTCATTTCAGGGGCTGACATCTTATGTCTAGGTCTCCAAGCTTGGAGGAGTCACTGTGTAAGGAGCTTCCCTCCAGATCCCTGGGCCTGGGCGGCAGCCAGACCTCCACCTGCTTTTCCAGGGCATTGGACCTCAAAACAATGTGCTAGGAGACAGTTCTGGGTCTGACCCAATTTTGCCTTTCCCTTGGTATGTGTCCTTAGCAGATACTTCACTTCTGACCCTCAATTTCTTCAACTATAAAAAGGAAATTATATTATCCACATTGCTGAGTTTTGTATGTGGATTGCCTAATTTTTTGATGTCTGAAAAGCCCCTACCCAATAGCCGTTAATCCAAAGTAGCAGGGGGCTATAGCAAGCAGGGCAGGACAGAGCTTTCTGTTTTGCTTAGAGCTCCTCTGACACTTTTGCCTCTAGCAGTTTAAGCAGATCCCCCCATGATCACCTTCAAGGGGAAAAATATTAAGTATTTCTCTTCTTTTCCATTCTCAAATTGTGGTTTTGTCTGGACATTATTATCTTGTCCTCTTGAGGGTAGGAGGGACAACTCCTTTGCAAGGATCCCACAACCCTTGTTGTTAGAACTTTGCAAGATTTTCACCCATTTGCATGTCTAGCAAGTTCCTGGCTTGTTCTCTAGGGGCTGTGAAATCCCCACTAAGGTTTTGCTTCTGCCCTTTTTTAAAAAAACGTCTTCCTGAAAAACTGCTCACCAAATGTGAAAGGGTGGTTACTGCCTCAGGTGGAGATAATGAGTTGCTGGGGCTTTGCCCCTGTTTATGGTTTTCTATGGGTTCTGAAGGTTTTGCAGTGAGCGCTTATTGCTCATAGAATTAGAAAAGTGTTCAGGCTGGCACCGTGGCTCAATAGGCTAATCCTCCACCTAGCGGCGCCGGCACATCGGGTTCTAGTCCCGGTCGGGGCGCCGGATTCTGTCCCGGTTGCCCCTCTTCCAGGCCAGCTCTCTGCTGTGGCTGGGGAGTGCAGTGGAGGATGGCCCAAGTGCTTGGGCCCTGCACCCCATGGGAGACCAGGAGAAGCACCTGGCTCCTGCTTTCGGATCAGCACAGTGCGCCGGCCGCAGCAGCCATTGGAGGGTGAACCAACTGCAAAGGGAAGACCTTTCTCTCTGTCTCTCTCTCTCACTGTCCACTCTGCCTGTCAAAAAAAAAATAGAAAAGTGTTCAGCTATTTCAAGCAAAAGAAAAATGCTGGCCTTTCCACCTGCTCTGACACCACACTGCCAGATGTCCCTCACATCTGCAAGGGGCTATAGCAAGGCTCTGGCCATGCCCTTGCACCCCAGAGGGATGGAAACTCTGCACCCACACTCAGGCTTGAGAGGTTAGCATTTCTACACACTGCACACGTGAGAACTACTTGACTCCAAGTAACAGAACCACAACCTCAATTACCTCAAATGGGTAAGAGCTTGTTTTTTAATGATGATGCTGGGGTAGCTGCTGTAACCCAAGGACAGAATGTGTCTGGGCTCCAGGAATAGCTGGCACAAGGAGCTCAAACACTGTCCCCCACCTCCCCTTGGACTGCTCACCACTGGACGGGGCTCCCCAGCTTTCTCCAGCTGGTGAGAGTCATGGATTCCCAGGACTGCCTCTCACACTCTCAGCCCCTGGAGAGAGGCTGACCTGATGCTGTCAGTATCAGAGTACAAGCCTTCTCCATAAGGGTCTCAGCTGCCCAGTTTGAGTTCGGGGCCCATGCTGGATTCAGTGACTGTGGTCAAGGCACAAGATGTGGGGTTGTGGCCTAAAGATCAGGGTCAATCATGCTGCTCAGAGTGTGGCCTGAGGACCCTGCTGGCCCATGAGCTGCCTCATCCTTCTGAACAGTTCTGCTACCAAAGTTAACGATAGACATTTCTACACTTTTCTAAGAATTTGACATGTCTGTAACAATCAAGTGTGTGATTTTTTTTAAAATTTTTTCCAGGGCATCAATTTTTGACAGATTTGAAATTAAATTGTTTTCAAGTTTTTTTTCTTTTATTTACTTATTTATTTATTTGAAAGTCAGAGTTACACAGAGAGAGGAGAGGCAGAGAGAGGTCTTTCATCTGTTGGTTCACTTCCCAGATGGCCGCAACAGCCGGAGCTGTACTGATCTGAAGCCAGGAGCCAGGAGCTTCCTCCAAGCACCTGGGCCATCTTCCACTGCTTTCCAGGCCACAGCAGAGAGCTGGATTGGCAGAGGAGCAGCCAGGACTAGAACAGGTGCCCATATGGGATGTCAGCACCTCAGGCCAGGGCGTTAACCCGCTGCACCACAGCACTGGCCCCTGTTTTAAAGTTTGAAAAGCACTAGTGTAAGTTAGACAGGACAGCTCCTTCAAAAATCATGTGCCTAAGAGAGGAAGGGTGGATACACTGGATGACTAAAGCAATGGGCACCTACCACTAATATCTCCACACAGTTCCGTGGTTCAGCTCCATTAGACCGACCTGCACCAGGGTCCTTGCTCCCTGGAAGACACCAAGGACTGATCGTGTTTCTTGCAAAAATCATTTTACTTGCAATGGACACAATTGGTAACCATCTTTCTCCATGTTAGCATAAGCTCCATGGGAATAGAGACCATGTATGATCTGTTAACAACTTTTGTCCTGTGCCCTCTTATGCAGGCTCAATTTTAAAAAATGTTGTGATGAGTCACTACACTTTAAGAATGCACTAGAAACAACCATGGGGTATTCTGGGATGGAATATTCTGGAACCTGCTCATGTCTGGAGATGAGGTCCCTGCAGGAGATTCCCAACATGACCCACAGCTACCACTGATTGCTAGGAAGGACACTGCTGGTGAACCATGGTCATGAAGAGAGGCCTGGTGTTTGTATACTGATCTTGCCATGAACATCTAAAACCCACAGTTCACCATACCTTAGAGGTTCCTCTTGCAAAGGGACAAAAGTGGAGTAGCCCTGGTATATCACTTAGTGCTTTCCTTATACAAGTGTGCTAGAAATTAATACTTGGTTCTCCTCTGAGCTCATATGGAAAGACAAAAAAAGAAAGTGTTTAGATTAGAACTCGGAGCTCCACGGTCTTACCATAATCCTCATTGTAATTTTGTCTGTTGCCTTAGACAAGTCATTTTTCCTTTCTGAACCTTAGAGCATCAAGGTTTAGAATGAGCAGACTGACGTGGGCAAATTCCAAGGGCTTCCCAACTCCAAATGTCCATGACTTTCTCACTCTGTAGACATCTGTGTGTACCCTTCATCAGTCAGAAGATGGTGAGTGAAGTGTTTCGTAGTTCCCACAGTCCCCCATCCTTTGACAAAGACAAGGTGCGTGGTTCATGGGCTTAACGGATCAGAGGTTTTGCGGTGGTTAGCTGAGGGTTCTGTGTTTGTTAAAGCAAAGCATACTGGCCCGTGGTGAAATGGGCTCACTTGTCTGCTGCTTCTTGCCCCTTGTCCCACAGCCATGCTGCAGGCGGTACGGGCTCTGATGGTCGTGGGCATCGTCCTCGGTGCCTTTGGCATCCTGGTGTCCATCTTCGCCCTGAAATGCATTCGTATTGGCAGCATGGAGGACTCTGCCAAGGCCAACATGACGCTGACCTCCGGAGTCATATTCATCATCTCAGGTAAACTCAGGGCTTGGGGTTCCCATGCTCACACCCACTTCTGAGAATGTCCTAGCAAAATCGTCCTGGTGGTGGAAACGTGGCTCCTCTCCATGACTGAACACTGGGATTCCAGATTGAATGTAGAGGTCCTACCACACCTTACCCTTCGCCACGAGATATGTAGAAGGCCTCTTTCTGCACTCACACAAACCCTTCCAGAATTAGTGAGATAGGAGATAAGTACCTGGCACATTGTCTAGCACATGGTAGGAATCCAATCATTGCTTGTATGGACCAGTCTGTAACAAATGGAAAATTCTGAAACTTGCTCACCTAACTCATTTAAGCATAAAGTGCCTCAGAAGTATTGTGATTTCTTTTTTTTTTCTTTCTTTTCTTTTTTTTTTTTTTTTTTGTGACAGGCAGAGTGGATAGTGAGAGAGACAGAGAGAAAGGTCTTCCTTTTCCGTTGGTTCATCCCCCCAGTGGCCGCTGCAGCCGGCGCACTGTGGCTGGCACACCACACTGATCTGAAGCCAGGAGCCAGGTGCTTCTCCTGGTCTCCCATGCAGGTGCAGGGCCCAAGGACCTGGGTCATCCTCCACTGCACTCCCTGGCCACAGCAGAGAGCTGGCCTGGAAGAGGGGCAACCGGGACAGAATCTGGCACCCCGACTGGGACTAGAACCCGGTGTGCCGGCGCCACAGGCAGAGGATTAGCCTATTGAGCCACGGCGCCGGCAGAAGCGTTGTGATTTCTAACAGCTGACTCTGGGGCTCTCTTGTTTTCTGTTCACAGGTCTGTGTGCAATTGTTGGAGTGTCCGTGTTCGCCAACATGCTCGTCACTAACTTCTGGATGTCCACAGCTAATATGTACAGTGGCATGGGTGGGATGGTGCAGACAGTTCAGACCAGGTAACCTCCTAATCCATGTCTCTCTAGCCCTTGGCAAATATTGTCCTAAGAATCTGATTAGACACATGTGCCTAATGTGACTGTCAGCGCCCGAAACAGCAAAAATGTATCAGAGGCAACCATGCCATATCATCAATCAAGAGCGATCTGTAAATTCATAAACTTCAATTTCAGTGAAACAGCCTTGGTGATCTGACTTGAGGCTGATCTGACATTGGCACTGAAAAGCGGTGACAGTTCACAGTATTTATCTCACACTCTTACACAGGCCCCATTGTGGTGGCAATGAAACAGGCACTATTAACTCAGGCATGTAAATGAACATCAACCTCCATCTACCGTCCATAATGGGGACCCAGCTAGGAACAGGTAAAAGCTTGAATAGAAATGAGCAAGATGCAGTGTTAAGTGCAAAAAAGGGATAGTCCTTCCTTGCACAGCTGTTTCTTTATCTCATTCATTAACTCAATCATTCTACAAAGGTTGTAAGCACCTGCTGTGGGTTGGGAAGTGTTCATGGGGCTGGGGACACAGACAAGGTCCCCACTGTCATGGAGGTTACAGTCTAACACAGGAAGATGCGACCCCACTGTAACTGGTGCCTGAGGAGGGTAGAACTTTGGAAAGATGGGAAAGCAATACCAACATCTGCACTGGTTTAGTCACCTCAAACACACGGATCCCGTACCAAGCACCAGAAAGCAAAACCCTGAAGGAGAAAGATCTTGTTCCAGGACAGCAATAACAGATATCACACCTATGTGACCCACCTGTCATCTCTGGGGTGGAGGCACTCCCTTGGCCTTTCTCTGGCCATACCAGCAGACAGGGGGCCAGGGGTGAGGATGTGACAAGCCCATTGCTGTCCAGCCCCTCAGAACTCCAGTCTCATCCATGTGTCTTCTGTGTCTCCAAGCTGGGAAGATGATTCCCCTAAGCTTCCCTTCTGCTCCGTGATTCTCCCATGGCCCCTTGGTTTCAGAGGCAGCTTAGAAGTAGGCTGAATAACAGTCCAGTGTGCTGGAGACTTCCCCAGTTCTAGCATTAAAAGTCACTTGACCTGGGAACCTCCTCCCTGTGGACAGAGAAGAGTGGTTTGTCACCGTACTTAGAAGGGCTCGCAATGCCCAGAGAATCTGGATGCCTTATGTCTGCCCCAGCCCAGAGGAGCCTCTTACCACCCACCTGGCATGCCCCTCTCTCACACAACCTCCCTCGTACCTGCCCTGTCCCTTGGGCAGACAGCTTTAGTTGTGGGCTAAAGGCTTCGAGATCCTGAAATTCCTCCTTAATCTTCTCTCTCCGTGGATGGGCAGCTGTCTTTCCCCTTCCATTTTCTTACTTTCTCTGCCTAGACGTCATACAAGAAAGATCTTGGCAGTCAACTCAACAGGGCTTTGGCTCCAGTATCTCATTTGGTCCTAATCTCCCCTCCTCTCCTGCTCCCTTACTCTATCACTGCTGTGCTGTATGCAGGGTTCAGCCTAAGCCCTGGAGCAGGGCTACAGACTGCCTACCCTCTCACTGCGCCCAGCCTGCAAGGAGTTTGTATCAGACCAGACACTTCATTTATATTCTGAATTCATCGCCAACTTTTAAAAATGGGAAGTGTCACAGGCTGGGTTCCTCAAAAACAGATCCTGAGAAGAGACTCCATGTTGCATCTGTTTATTAATGGGGGGCGGGGCACTGGTTACAGAGTAAGGGGAGCAGTAGCCAGGCAAGGGTGTGATGAGGGCTCATCCCCAGGGAGTTGTGCAGCTTGAAGCACACTCAGTGTGGTCTCCACTGCAAACCGGAGAGCTGGGCTTCCGTGCCCGTGCCCTGGTGCCAGTCGCCCTCTGGTCATGTGAGCACAGTGGCTTCCGGAGCTGGACCAAAGCCAGGCCTGCAGGGAGTCATGAGGTCCGAGAAGTAAAGGCAAACGGGTGCACAAGCTGGGGAAACGACACACAGAAGTGGTTAAAGGGGTAGAGCACCATTGGCGTCTGCTACACACACACAAACACAGCCATGCACATACACACAGAGATATGCACACACACATACACATGCACCCGTTTCTCCAGCTTTGTGCAAAATAAATCAGAAGATCTGACAGCACAGTACCCTCATTCTCAAATGACAACCATCTCTAAGCTAGAGGCTGGGGCCCTTCAACAGGGCTCACACAATCCCAAATGCTCCCAAGTGGCCAGCGCTCAGACCATTTATTATCGTGCATATGAGACTCCCCCTCCCATATATTAGTGTCAGGAAGATGGAGGTGGGCTGTTGGCCTAGTGGTTAAGATACTCATTCCATATCAGGATTCTTGGGTTTGAAATCTACCTCCAGCTCCTGACTCCAGCTTCCTGCTAATGCAGACCCAGGAGGCAGCAGTGAGGGCTCCTGCTCCTTGCATCGGAGCCCTGGACTGAGTTCCTGGCTCCTGGCTTCAGCCTGGCTCAGTCCTGGGTGTTGCAGGCATTTGGGTAGTGAACCAACACATGGAAGATCTCCCCTCTCTCTCTCTCTCCCTCTCTCTCCCCCCCCCCATTCTCACTCTTGCTCTCTTCTATCTCTATCCCTCTCAAACTATTCTCTTATATGTCACTCACTTCATTCATTTATGTTGCTTTCCTGTCTCAGCCAAGAATTCAAATTTGTTATCCTTGACTCACAGAATTTAAGTTGACAGGGACACCTTGCTCCCCATACACGGATTAACAATGAAAATGTTGAGAGAAGATTGACCTGAATTGAATCCTGACAAGGCCATGTCCTTCTTGGGTCTTTGGAGAAATTACTTAGCTTCTCATTCTCCCCCTCTCCCATCCCAGGAACTACTGAAAGAATTAAATGAGGTGGTGGTAAAAAGTGCTTACTGTAGTATCAGTAAGGGCTCCATGAAAGGCACTGATTGGTTGTTGTTATCACCATGTACAATATGCAGCCACTCTACCCTATAGGGGTATCAAGGACAGGCACTCTGTTTCAGGATAGAGGAACCAGGGCTGGCTCCAGGAAAGCCACTCAGAAGCCCCCCAGCTGGACCCCCAAGGAGCAGGCCTGCTGTTTAGCCCCCAGCCATGCTGGGTTGGAGGAGGTGGTGGAATGGGGGTCTTTCATTCTAAGGTAGCTGCACTCAAACCAAATATGGGTGTTTTCTTTTTTTTCCTAGTCCAAAGGAAATAAAGTAGCCTACAGGTAAATTTTCTCCCAGAACTTCTTCAAGGGCTAGTATCAGCCAAATAATTTTGCCCTACACATTCCTCTTGGTCATGAGGCCTATGTGGTTTACTCAATCCTACCAAGCTGTGTGTATTTCCCAAGCACATGGGAATTATCATATTTTCATGGCTTGCAGAGGTCTGCACAGATATTGCTGTCTTCCCATTGCTGGCCCAGCGGTATTAGCTCATGTAGCAGATTTCAAACATATTAGCAATGGTGGTATTCTACAGTGGTCCCCGGGCTCTACAAGAAACAGAAAGGGAAACACCCAAAGGGAAGGCTTCGGCCATGCTGGGCTCTCCTTTTCTGCAGGACTCTTGCAGATGGGGGTTGTTATCAGCTAACACTGAAATACCCACTGACAGCCTAATAGTTTTTGGTCACTGAGGATCTGGGGCTATCCCTCTCCACTATCAAAAAATGCCCACCCAGAATCACAGCCATTTTGTTCTTGGAGGATTTTGTTTCTCAGTCCCTGATGTGACTGAGTCCTGTTGGAGGCGGATCTCACAAGGGAAGGGTACCAACTCTGCACTCAGAATGCCTCCGCTTAGGAATCTAGTGGGGGCTGAGACAAAGGCACCGTGCCAGAGGACACGGTGCCCTCTATCCCAGTGCCAGAGGACAGTAGCAGGTGCATAGCAGCAACTCAACAAGTGCCCATTGAACAAATGAGTCATCAAATGAATGAAAGCCTGACAGGTCACTTCAGCTTAGTTCTTCCAGAAGATAGTTCTCCTACCTACTTGTGTGGATGGTTGCAAGGTGTAGAAACCTTTGTTTTTTCACTAATACAATGAAATACCTGAGGCTGGTGACTCTGTGAAGGCAAGCAGCTTGTTTTGGCTCCTGGCTCGGAGGTGCAAGGTCAAAGGGTTGCCACTTCTTTCTGGAAGTTTTAAGGCAGCATGGAGTATCACAAGACAAGAGTCGGGGGGTCCACGTGTAAATCTGTGTCTGTCTGGTCTCTCCCTCTTATACATCCAAAATATCTCACTCATGAGACTCAACCCTACCGACCTCCTAGCTGGATTAAGTCTCCATCCTTTTAATACATATACATTATTAATAGCAAATATTGTATATAGCAAATAATAAATTATTTGGTTTTTAATACCACACGATGGGACTGCATTTCCACAGAGGAAGCCTTGGAAAATGCTAAAACCTGCTCCTGGGCCCACCGTGAGAACACAAGGATCAAGAAATAACAACTCCATCTCAAACTTCTCTTGCCAAACATTCAAGAGGGGAGGGTTACTCCAAAAGGGGGACCAGGGGAGGGGCCGCAGCGGGGTTCGGTGGGCGGAGCATGGGGAGTTGCAGCAAGCACGTTCACTTCCGCTGTCTCCTCACTCAGGTACACCTTTGGTGCAGCTTTGTTCGTGGGCTGGGTGGCTGGAGGCCTCACCCTAATTGGAGGTGTCATGATGTGCATCGCCTGCCGGGGCCTGGCCCCTAATGAAACCAAGTGAGTCTCCCCGTTAGAGGTTTTGTTAATTCAGAGTCCATTTCCACATATAACTTGGATCCCAGAATAATTCATCTAGGTATATGGAAGAACTTTCTCAACCAAAAGTTTATTAACTTTCTCTTTTGTAAGGAACTTAAAGAACACAACCTAAACATTTCAGGCTGGGCAAATTTAGGTGTGATCCTATTTGAAGGGGAAAAACTACACACTTCTGGTTTCTTTGGAGCTCCAGCATACTGTAACTCAATCGTTGTCAAATCGAGCCAACCCCCTCCACATACCCCATTGCGGGGAAGGATGCCTCTCTGACAACATCCAAAGACACTCTGGTGGGGGAGAGGAGGGATGGTACTAGCATCTCGTGGGCAGAGGTCAAGGAGGCTGCTAAACACACTACAAAGCACAACCCAGCCCCAACAATGAAGAAGCATCCATTCCACATTGCCAGTAGCACCGCTGTTGAGAGACACAGTGATCACTGCACAAAAGGGCCTGGAGCTGGTACAGCTGGAGTCCAGTGCGGTTCTGTGGCCTCCAGTAGTCAGCTGGTCCCCCGCAGCCTCTCTCCTAGCCCCTGTGGGTGGCTCTGACAAAATCCCTCAGAGTGGGCCATTTATAAGCAATCAACATGTATTTCTCCTGGATCTGGAGATGGGGAAGTCAAAGACCAGGGTGCTGGCAGGTTTGGTGTTAGGGCTCATCTTCAAGATGCGGCCTTTAGGCTGCATTCTCCAAAGAGGGGCCACGCTACGTCCTCGCCTGACAGAGGGCTCGGAAAGGAAGGAGTGTTTGCCCTTCGACACGGAGCCATTTCACGGGGCTCCTGTCCATCATGAGGGTGCAGTCCTCATGATTTAATGCCTTCCCAACAGGCCACCTCTTCATGCCACCCCTGTAAGGATTAAGTCTCAGCCTGAACTTCAGAGGGGGAGATTCAGACCATAGCAGCCCCTGTTACCTTGTCCATAAAATAAGCAAATCGCAGAAAACGGGTTGCATGTAGGCACTTTCCAGCTCACAAATTCTATGATTCTTTGCCAAATACTGTTTTTTAGACGTGGTGTTTGGGTTCAGCTTCATTTTAAGTGACTTAGGGAGAGTGCTCACTAGTCACCAATACTGGCTCAGCAAGGCTCTAACACAAAACAAGGATTCTGCTCTACTGCAGAGGCAGGAAAACCAGTGTCCCAAAGGCTAGGGCGACCACCTGTCCAATTTGACCAAGATCAATGCATTCTGGGGACAGTGGATTTTCGGTGCTAAAACTGAGTGACTCCAAGGTAAATGGAGAAGCTGGGCCTCCTACACTCACAATCATGGAATGTTTCTTTTTCTTGCAGCTACAAAGCCGTATCTTACCACGCCTCGGGCCACAACGTGGCCTACAAGCCAGGAGGCTTCAAGGCCAGCACTGCCTTTGGATCCAACACCAGAAACAAGAAGATTTATGATGGGGGTGCCCACGGAGAGGATGAGGTACAATCTCATCCTTCCAAGTACGACTACGTGTAATGCTCCAAGACCTCCCGGCACGGGCAGAGGAAGCCCCCAAAGAGAGCACATCCAAAACATAAGGAGATTCCACCTTGAGTCTTTGTTGCTTTGACTCCCAGCTGGACGTTAGGAACACACTCATTTCACCTGTAAGGAAGACCACATGGTCTTGGCCACACTTGTGTCTCTCTCTCAACATTCCATCCCCAAACGGCTGAGTCCCCATGCGTGAATGAGAGGCAGTAGTTCACATTTTCCATCCTCTACTCCCTTCTTTGTAACCTTTCCTACCTGATGATAGTAGGTTGTCTGCAGCCCTATCTGACACCATGCTGATTGACACAAGCTCCCCCACTTCCATCTTTCCATTCAATAAGCCCATTGCTGATCTATTTCCCAGCTCATCCTCAAGAAAAAAAAAATTGAAAGGAAAAGAAGAAAGTAAACCAAAAGGCATCATTTTCTGCTGTTTGATGGTTGCCACCCCCATTCCCAACTGGGTTACTAATAAACACTACTTGAAGAGGAGGAGATAGGGGAAGGATATCTATAGTATCTCCAGCCCCTCCTCGGGTGTTCGTACTCTGTGATCTCAATGGGTGCCAGGCCAAAGTGATTCTCAGGTGGAGGTAGCCAGCCCCTTCTGCTACTCCCAGCAAGGCCATCCCGGGGGTGTCCTGAGCTCTCCACCAACGTCCTCTTTCGGCACAGGGCAGAAATTGTCCCTACAGAAGGGAGAAAATTAGCTGTTCTGGTTATCTAAGTCCTAGAACATAGTTAGAATAGTAATACATTAAAAATAAAATAGTCTCACCTTTGCACATTGATAAAGGAAAATGAAAAAAATGAGTTATTTGATATTGTCTATGTTGTTCCTTAAGTCACACCCCTAAGTCTGAATTTCATGAAAAGCTCTTTGATCCTAATTCTTCTCCTACGAGGTGTCCATGACTCTGATTACACATAATAAAAAGTGTAACTCATGTAAAAAAAATGAAACACAGCAAACCCTAGAGAGTAGGTTAGAATCAGTTCTTCAAAAGCAAAACAAAACAAAGAAGGTGAGCATGAGTTTAATGGTGTGTTTCCATGTGACTCATGCCCACACATGCATGGCCACATGTGCTGCCAGTTGAGCTTACCGGGTAGAGCTTACTGGGTGCTGTGGTCATTTGTGTTATTCCAAGAGTTGTTCCCTTCACTTAATTCATGTTGAGTGGTCTGCCTGTTGGATGCCCAGGCAGAATCGAAAGCCTTTGCAGCCACACGCCTTCCCTGTGCTCACGTCCCTGACCTTTTGAGCAGAAAGACTAAAGCCTTTTTTCCAGGGCTCCCAGAATTCCATCTCGGCACCAAAGCCCCTAGGAAACCTAGGGAAGGGCAGTCTCTAAAAAGTACCAAATCAAGAGCAGCATTGGTGCCTGGGGGGGACCTGGTCATTGGGTTATTATTTGGGGGAAAATGTCCTTACATCAAATGGTACACATGAAAGTGCCCTCCAAGGGGACTGGTGAATACTCATGGGGTCTCCAGGCCGAGTATCGTGTGTCTGGGGTAAGACCAGATCATAGCCCATAGTAATGAGTTGTGTGCAGCAAGAGCAAGAGCAGTAAAGCCATTATCCCTTCTCACCGAGACAACCATATCAGAGACAGCACTCACAGAATCATTGCCTGTAAAAGACGAACAAGGAAATCAACTCAAGAAAAAAAGTGGGTGGGGAGGAATGGGCAATCTATGGCAGGGAGATTGTTGAGGGCTCTCAGGATTTGAATTAAAGGTCATCCCTTTGGCTTGAAGGTCACTGGGCACAATGAGCTCTCCCTTCTAGCACCACAAAGTTCCCAGTCAAGTCTGAAGCCCTAAGTTGTTACTCAGCTGGGTTTTTAGTTAACACATTCTCTATCAAACACTGAAGTGTCTGACAGCCTCTTTATGATTAGATTGTGCTTTGGAGTTTCTTGGTTTTGCTCTTATTTTATATGCATTGAGTGTTGAGCTGCATGTTTTGTTACCTAAATATTAAAAACACTGTTATCTTCCATTTGAATAGCTTCTACTCATTTTTCCTAGGCTTGGGCAAAAGGAAGCAGGACGTTTCAATTCCTTAAATCTGAATGCATATGCCCGGGTGTGGGTAGGCTTGCAGAATCTGTGTTTGCTCATCAGCAGCCTGGATGACTGGAAGCCAACTGGGTATGGATCCAACCCAGTTAGTGGTCTCTGCACATTGGGAAACCATATTAAATTGGGGTTCCCAGAGCAACTAGACACGAAGCATGGGATCCAAGCACCAAGTGAAACCTGTCTGACTGCCCATGGGTCAGTAAACAAGAGAGCCAATGCCTTCCCTCTTGATGCTGACAAGGGTTGGGTTGGCCAGTCCAGTACCCAATACTTACTGAGGCAGGGTCAGGCTACAGAAACCACGTGAGCTGTAGAGTCAGAACAGCCCAGCCTCCACTCCACTCCTTCCCAGCTGTGTTAGTTTAAGGGAAGTGCAGAAACCTTTCTGAGTCTCTGTTTCCTTATCTACAAAGTGGGGGTGATAAGAATAATGAGATAATCCAACTAAAGGACCTACTGAAGTGGCAGACACCCAATCTGAACAATTCTACAACAAATGGCATTGGCCTATGAAACTGGAGTATCTGAGGCCAGCACTGGTTTTGGGCACAGCTGGACCAAGCTTGGGTCATGGTCAAGACTACCTTTCTCGCCCGTATCTCAATTGTGCTTTCTTCTCTGTTCCTTTACTTCTCAAGAGGATTGTCCCACGGGGTAACGGTGATGGCTGCTTATATTTCTAAGCATAAAGCCGTCTTTCAGACAGGAAATCTAGCCAAAAAGAGCTGTTTTCTGATATCTGTAGGAGAAAAAGTCCTGATAAAAGTCACTGGACTATTGGAGTCATGTACCCATCCCCCAATCTCTTCCTACAGCCAGAGCAGTGGCATCTAACTTGGCCAAACCTAGGCCCGCAGTTCGACTGTGATTTGTCAAAAGCCCCAAAGACCATATTCTAAAAGCCACGAGTCCTCAGAAATCAGGCAAACTTGTTAGTTTGATATGTTTTTAAGATGTATTTATTGCCGGCGCCGCGGCTCACTAGGCTAATCCTCCGCCTAGTGGCGCCGGCACAGCGGGTTCTAGTCCCGGTCAGGGCGCCGGATTCTGTCCCGGTTGCCCCTCTTCCAGGCCAGCCCTCTGCTGTGGCCAGGGAGTGCAGTGGAGGATGGCCCAAGTGCTTGGGCCCTGCACCCCATGGGAGACCAGGAAAAGCACCTGGCTCCTGGCTCCTGCCATCGGATCAGCGCGGTGCGCCGGCCGCAGCGCGCCGGCCGCGGCGGCCATTGGAGGGTGAACCAACGGCAAAAGGAAGACCTTTCTCTCTCTCTCTCTCACTGTCCACTCTGCCTGTCAAAAAAAAAAAAAAAAAAAAGATGTATTTATTGATTTATTTGAAAGTCAATGTAAGAGAGAGAGGGGAGGGGCGGGGTGAGGTGGGCAGGGGAGAGTAAGATCTTCTCTTCCCAAATATCCTCAACAGTCTGGGCTGGGCCAGGTCAAAGTCAAGAGCCTGGAATTACATTCAGTTTCCCATACGGTTTCTGGGGCTCAAGCTCTTGAGATGGCTTCCTGTGCTTTCCCGGGTGTATTAGCATAGAGCTAAATTAGAACTGGAGCAGCTGGGACGTGAGCCAGCACTCATAGGGGATGTCAGCATTGCAGGCTGTGACTTAACCCAACACAATGCTGGCCCCAAAGCAGTATTCTCAGGTTGAAACTGAACTCTGAGAAGAGCTTCAGTTGTATAAATTTGAACCCTCTCTGACCAGTTACCAAATAGCATATTGTACAGAAATGGAGGATCTGAAAGATTACTCTGGTTCTCAAAGAAAACTGAGAGCGGGCATTTGGCATAGAGGTGTGATGTCTGCATCCCATACTGAAGTGCCCGGGTTCAAGTCCTAGCCCTGCTCCAGACTCCTGCTTCCTCCTAATGCATACCCTGGGAGGCAGAAGGTGATGACTCAAGTACTTGGGTCCCTACCACCCATGTGGGAGATACAGATTACATTCTTAGCTCCTGGCTTTAGATCTGTAGTGAACCTTTGGGGAGTGAACCAGCAGATGAGATCTTTCTCTCTCTCTCTCTCTCTCTCTCTCTCTCTTCCTCTGCATCTCCCTCTCTCTCTCTTTTCTACCTTTAAAATAATTTTAAATAAAAGATGACTGATTAAGACCTAAAAATGTCAAAGAAGAAACATTACATTCAATTCAAATAAGTAACATTATGAAAGTGGTTTGTAGAAAAGTGTCCTCAATTACATAATTTTGAGCCACTCAAATTTATATTTCCTAAAATTTAGGGGTATTTGGAAGACTCCTTGTGCAAAGAAATGGATGAACCAAGTCATGAGTACACACTCATAATATGTCCAAAAAAATCCCCGTAGCTGACGACTGAGGGCCCACACTTGTCCACCCTAACACCCAAAGCAAGGAGTTTCATCAGTCTTTCTGTGAGATGCCCAATTCTTTTTTCTTGGGCATTACCCAGCCCCCTCCCACCTCCACGAGACATTATGTACAGTCAGCTCTGCACAGACGTAATGCTTACCAGGACTCCTGGTATCTCCAGGCTGATGCATCTCACAGGAGGAGCACTGCCCTGGGGGTCAGCAGCCTGGCCTTCCCGTCCTGACCGCATCGCTAGCCAATCATGTGACTTTGCAAGGTCTGTTACAGTGAGCCACTGACACGGTTTCATTATTCTTTTTCTTTACTGAGTCCCTGTGGTAATCAGTACTGTGTCTAGAGCTTTACAGATGTTATCACTTGGCCTCCAACCTGTGACCAATCTGGGTGCTCCTAGACACTCAGCAAGGATCACACTCACACACATTCATACACTCACACACTCACATTCTCACATGACCCTCAAATCACACACACATGCACTCACATTTTCACACCACCTTCATCCACGTTCTCACACACACACTCACACTCACACACTGTCACACATGCACACATGCACGTTCTCACACCACCCTCATACTCACACACACACACACTCACACATGCACTCACATTCTCACACCACCTTCATACTCACACACACACACTCACACATGTACTCACATTCTCACACGGCTTTCATCCACACTCTCACACACACATTCACACTCACACACTGTCACACATGCACACACACACATTCTCACACCACCTTCATGCTCACACACATTCACACATGCACACATGCACATTCTCACACCACCCTCATACTCACACACACACACTCACACATGTACTCACATTCTCACTGCCTTCATCCACGCTCTCACACACACATTCACACTCACACACACATTCTCACACCACTCTCATACACACACTCGCACACACATGCACTCACTTGGATTCCCCCGGCCTCATCAAGGACCAGAATTCCTGTAATTTTTCTCTTCTTAGACATTTGCCTACTCCCCACGACTGTGTTGGAATGATTCCATTCCTCTCCACTGAGGTCAGGCTGGTTTTCCATTCCTCCCAATCCACAGTTGGAAAGTAAAGGGTTTGTTCAATGAGCAGGTGAAGTGGGAAGAGCTAAAGACAAGCAGAGGCCCCAGGCAGTTTGGCAGACAGTGTGTGGTGGAGAGAAGACGGCAGCACCATGCTTGAAGTCCACCTCTACTCCATTCTGAAGTCAGCGCATCTATGTGAATGTTTCTCAAGTTTCTAGCAGTGATGCTTTTCAGCCTGTGCACTGCCAAAACACTGGAGGCAGCTGCTGTGCCGACTGACCAAGCAAGACAAAAGCTTTTATTCATCCCTGAGGGCTGCTAATGACACTGCTCCTCCTCTGGGGGAGCTTCTGGGGAGGGTGAAGTCCTCCCAGAGCCCAAGGAACACGCAGGTTCCTTACATGGAAAACCTTACATTTTGTCCTTTAAACTTAGATTCGGGGAGAAATGTAAAAAATATTGTTACATCTAATATAAAAGAAGGCTAAAAATGCTTAACCTGTAATCCAGCAATCGCTTTTCTTTGAATTTCTTTTAGGGAAATAATCATATATGTGTGTGCCAGATGATACGTATCAATTGCTTAAAATTATATAACTGAAGGCTGGCGATGTGGTTTAACGGGTTAAGCCATCGCCTGCAACACCAGCATCCCATATAGGCACCTGCTCCACTTCTGCTCCAGCTCCCTGCTAATGCATTCAGGAAAGCAGCAGAAGATGGGCCAAACACTTGGGCCCCTGCACCCACATGGGAGACCTGGAAGAAGATCCTGGCTCCTGGCTTCAGTCTGGCCCAGCTCCGGCCTTTGTGGCCATTTGGGGAGTGAACCAGCAGATAGAAGCTTCTCTCTCTCTCTCTCTCTCTCTCTCTCTCTCAACTCTTCCTTCCAAATAAATAAAAATAAAATTTTTTTAAGATTATATAACTGCATCAACTGAAAAATCCAACATAATAGTTTTTACCAAATGAGTGCTTCAAAATTTTATAGACATGGACTTAAAAGCTAAGTTTATTTTGATACAAAAAAATTTGAAATCCATACATAGCGCTTTGATATGCATTTTTCTCTTTTTTAATAGTTGTTTTAGAATAATTTTAAAGTTATGGATTAAAAATTGTGAGGTAGTAATACAAAGAGTTCCCATATACCTCTCATCCCATGACTCCTATTAACATCTCATGTTAGTATCTTTATCACAATTAATGAACCATAACAGCTTCACCAGAATTTCTGTATGTACTGTCTCAAGTCTGACGGCATATCCCTTGCCTTAGTACAAATCCCAAATCCGTCACTTGACATGTTTGTATGACATTTTTGAAGACTTCTAGCATAAGTAAACTACTACACAGTCATTAAAATTGAGAAGTTTTTTCCCAGTAATTACTCTATTAAACAGTGCATTGAAAAATGCCCTGGCAAGAAATACATTCCAAAATACTTTCATGTTTTTTAAAACTTTATTTATTTGTTTGTTTGTTTGTTTGTTTAAAAGGCAGAGTTTAAAAGAGC